CGTAAAAAAATATATTTATCACTTTCGGTCAAACGAAATGCATTTTTGCAACTACTAAGGTGGAGGCTTTAATATCCCAGAATATAAGGGAAATTAATTTTTTGATCCAAAATCACTGGTCGGTTTTTACGAAGACACGCTCTTAAGACCCTGGATAGCAAGTTGGAAGAGAAGCTTCAGGCATTCAAAAACTGTTAATTTGAAAGGTACAGAACGCTTTATTTTGTTAAACGAGTAACATGACATTCCATGAAGGGTCCTTGAAAAATAATTTTGGTCCTTGAAAAGTCCTTGAAAAGTCCTTGAAAAAAGATTTCAATTTTCTGTGCGAACCCTTTGCAATGAAGTTCCTGTTTTGTTGTGATGGCTGCTGGCAGGAAACAATTGATTATCAGGGCAGCCAGCTGGCCCTAGATTCACGGCGTCACGTGGTGTCCTTAGCCCTGTCCTTAGCTTTTTTTATTAGTGGGCATGGTTATGCTTCTTATAGAAAAACCCTGGGTAAAGTCTGGGTCTGGGTGTTTTGTCAGACAAGCCATTGTTAGAGGCAATTGATCTTGCTTTTCCTCATATCGGGGACATCCTTGATGAGATGTGTGAAGATGAAAAGAATTACATGAAAGCCCTTCCAAATGACCAGTTGGGGAGGTGGTCTCGGGGGGTCACAACATGTGATGGGTGTTGGCAGATTAGGGATCATTTCAGCCAAAATTGCATCTTCATCATAAAGAACTACTCGACAGGGGGTCTTCTGTATTATGGGCATTTATCAATGAGAGGGGCAGATCAAATTTGTAATGAAGAGTTGTGGCAAGGTACATCAAAAGCTGGGGAGGGACATTTAGCACAGGTTTTGTGGGCAAAGGTAAAGGATGAGGGTTTTCAAGTAGAAGTAAACTGGCAGGATGCTGATTCATCATCAGCAAAGGGATTTTGGTACTCATTTGAAAATGAGCAAGATTCGAGAATTATGCTGTGTGGGGGACATGTGGGGAGGGCTCATGGTAAAAAGCTTGCTGAACTTCAAACAAAAAGCTGTTTCAGTAAGGCATTTGTTGACAGCCACAAGAAGGATTTCCCTCAGATGGAAAAGTTAAAATGCTGTTGTTCTGGAAAAAAGCATACGTATGTCGCAAAAAGAAACAAGCCTGTATGTGGTTGTATCAGTCCAGCATTTATACAGAATGCAAAGCGCAACCATTACTGTGCACTAGTCCAGGCTGGACGGGACCCTGGTAAATACAGGGAGACAATGCCATGCTTGGGAAAATACCATTCCCGAGACATACATGAATGGGAGGGTGGTTATTGTAAATTTCATCCCTTAAAAAAATGTAGTTGTAAGGAATGTCAAGTCGATGAAGAGGGATTTGCCAAGAATTAAAATGCCCTGGGGAACGATACCATTCGTCCCATGTTTTAGAGTGTGAATTTCATGCTCTTTGTTATGAAATAGAATGTTCTGGAAGGGCTCCTGGTGCAGAAAAAGTTATTGATCCTGGGTTGGGAAAGGGCCATTCAAACCTCCCAGAAGCAACATTTAGTGTCCTTACTAAGTTCAGGGCTAAGGATGTAAATCTGCATCAAAAGCACTATGCAGCATCAACAAATTTGGGCCTAATACAGGCAAATATGACATGGTGTTATAAGAAGAAGGGCCCAGAATACCACTGGATTGAAGATCTATATTCCAGACTGGGCCTGCCACTCCTTGATGGTATCCAAGAAATGGTATGCTTTTTTTTCTTTTCACATTTACAGTAAAAAATCTCTGTTGGTTTCACTCCATTGATGAGTACCGGTATATTTCCTCATTCAGGGACAGACTGAAACTTGATATATCCCAAATTGTTGATGCTTGTTGATTTTTCTCTTGGTTTTTATTATTTTCCTTTTTTTTTTTTTCAACTGGTCAGGAAAGCAGGCTCTTACTTCGTGTAGAAGACACAGATGACGTAAAACAATATAACAAAAATCATGAAACAATACCTACTTACACTTTGAAAACCCTGAAGACTCCTAAAGCCTTTGTTGTGACATATGTGTCTTCTATACCAAGTAGGAGCCGGAAAGCCACTAGTTTCGTCCATTTTATCGAGTGAACCCTTATGATCCTACACGTAAATATACCTTCTCTCTAATACATTCATGAAACACTACTACCTGCTAGCCAAAAAGATGACCTTCAATTTAATGTTACTTATTTGGAATATGTTTTCAGTGTAAGAATGACAATGAAGATCACATGAAACGTTTAGAGAGAAAAAGGACTGAAGAGGGAAAGAAGAAATGGGTTCAATCAAAAATTAAAAGGACTCAAGAGCAAACACTAAGGTAAAGACATTTTCAAAAAAAATATATTAAAATTAGGCATGGCTTCATGTATCAGAAAATTTACATTATTATTGATTGAACCCTAAAGGTTTGTATAGTACATGCTTCGTTATTCCAATCTTTATCTTGCCAAATAAACCTTGAAATAATTTTATTTACCCCTTTGTACAAAATATTGATATACACCTTGACACTTCAGTGTAAGATTGGTTTAACTGCTGAGTAGGTGACCTTTTTGAAAGGATCAAATTGTCTTATCTGAGTAGAGATTTGTAAACAGCTTGTACCCAATAGCTTTTGACCAACTATTTGTGGATGTTATTTTTTAGAAAAAAATATATCAAGAACTGCCAAATAAGACACACATATGGGGAGGATGAAGACGAGGAAAAGGGGTACAATGAAGATGATGCCTTGATGATAACAGAAAGAGCGATCGCTAATGGAAGCGCAAGACGTTCTCCTGTGTTAGCACCAGTTCCTGCACCTGAAGGAGCTAATGTGGAAGTTGGAGGAAAGTCGTGTAATTGGTGTGGCAGCAAGACACATCTTCGAAAGAGCCATAAAGACTGTCCTTACAATAAGAGAGCATAGTTCCTATCGACAGAGAGAGTTTGTGTACATTATATTGTTCTAATGCCTTCTGAGTCCATAAAACCTGTTTGAATAAAAATTAGTTTATATCTATTGCATACTCAGAAACAATAGGTCATTTTCTTAATAACAGTTTTTTAATAGTATTCAGAGTATTCAATGCTCAAGTTCATAGTTCCAATTTCTGGACTATGCCATGCAGGTTTTTTTTTTTCTTTTTTTTTGCAGAGTTATCTTTAAAATAAGGTCGGCTTTGTTGGATTTTAGCTGTCATCTTTTCCATATTTTCATGATGTCATTTGGTAATCACATCCTCTACATCATCAAAACTTCTCTTTAAAACTAGTAGTGGCAGGATGAATTATGTTCTCCATACGTTTCCTTTCATTCAAGTGAGGAGAATTTGCCTAAAAGGCCCTTTCATCCTTGATAGAAAAGTTGTTGTTCTGTGATCTAAGGAACAGATTAACTGAGATATGAGGTACTTACCATTTACACAAACCACTCGGTTGGAAATCTTGTGTGTAAACATTAAACTATAACATCTGACATGGTGGAATAAATTTCCACTAGTCTGCAAAGTATATCCAAATAAGCGGAACCATGGAATTAGAGTAAAATGGTTGCTTTGCCTCAAATCACATTCGATGTTTGTTGAAACTTCCCAAACAGAATGCTGCAAACCATTTGATTTCCTACGAAGAATTTTTGGTTTTCCCACATAAATGGTGGTACCCATGGTCTTAGATGCCACTCTTTTAGGTGAAAAAGTCAAGGAGGTTTCCCTTTTATATGGACAGGAAAGTATTTAAAGTTTGTGGAAACAAGATGAAATAAAGGACTCAACCTTCCACTTTACACATTTTCTTTTCTATCTGTAATATATATATATATATATATATTTTTTTTCCAGGGGACGGCTCCTGAAAGGTGGAATAACTCTATTCCAGGGATAAGTCTGCCTTATTCCAATCATAACTTTATCCCAGGATAACGTTTTTCCGTGTTACGTGTTTTCTTTTTCACTTCCAAAACTTTTCACTTACAACATATGGAAAGTGTCAGTACCAATATGGATTTTGCCAAAAAGGCTTTTTATTAAAACAAACTTTCTGATTAGTTTCTTCTTGATTTATAATTATTACAAGTTATATGTTGATAATTTGTTGGAGATAACTGCAGAAAAATATATGTTGGTTTGTACCAAAGACGTGTTCAGAAGATTAATTGTCATCTTTTAGTTCACACAAAAGAAAATTAATGTTCATAAACAAGAGAACTCTTCAGTAAATTACTTTGGTTTGGCTCCTCGCCATTTTGCCTCGTGTAGATCTCTCAACGTGACATGATACACCTGGTTAGAAAAAAAAGAACGTCGTTTCTATTAATTTCAATCACGGAAAAGTGCTCATCTTTTCACACACAAACGTTCAAAACACTTGTAACCGTACTAGAATATAAACAAAGGACAGTAACTTACCGCTGATCCTTGGGGATATGGGTAGTCCCCGAGCTCCCCACCTATGGCTTCTCTAACTGCAGCTTTCAGGCTTGGAGGGTAAACATAGGTGGGAAGCGATTTCCCTCTGAATTGGTTCTTTCCCACGCTATTTCCAAACTGTCGGGAAAGAAGGAAGAAAGTTAAGCAATATAGACTGAAAAGACGATTTCAGTCGCTGTTTGAAAACGAATGGATTCAAGAGAGTGACTGGAAATGATCATTATGTTTTCCACGAGACTACGTACCAGTTGCTGACCGTTCATTACCCACATGAAGACCACTGCCTACAGTGTATTTACTGCTATGCACCCGTAAGATATCTTCAGTTTGCGAAATTTCACAGATGAGGTAAGCTTATAGATTCTTGTCGACCACGTGTTAACATTCAAGCACGTTCGCGCAAAGTGTTACGACCGATCGTTTGGTGCGGATAATTTGCTTTTGATTAGTTTCGATAGAAACGGATAGGTTATTGACACTTACCCACAAAATTCCAAAAAAGTGTCGAAAAAGCCTGTGACGGCAGTCCTCCTTCGTTTCATTCGGTTTCGGCTTTGCCCGGCGGAGAATG